TTTTTTTTTTTTTTTTTTTTTTTTTTTTTTTTGGTACTAGGGATCGAATTCAGGCTAAATCCCCAGCCCTGAAGTTCTTAGCATTTTATCCCTTGATGTGTCAAGTCCTTCTCAACACAAGTGATGTGGCATGTTCTTCTCCCAAAACTGGATTTAATCATGGAATGTGTTGCAGTGTGTGATGGGCAATTCTCAGATGACACTTCTGAGGCTGAGAGGACAGTGCTGTTGTGGAAGGGAATGAATTTGCCTCCTTCATACGTGAAACAAAATAGTCTCAAAAAGATTGTACAATGGGAATGTTGTGGTGTTTGTGCTGAGAAATCTCATAAAACCTCCTATCTGAAAATCAAAGTGACCTTTTCTAAGCAACCTCAGCCCTACAGGAGAAGGCAAATATTGCCAGATTGCCTGACATTTCCTTTTTAAAATTTCAAGCATTCCTGATTTCAGATCATCTATTGATCTGTTGATTTGCAGCCCTGGTGCAATTAAAGTCACATTCACTGCTGTTAGTCTATCATAAACAGCTGCTATGAAACCCCCCTGCCTTCACCTCCTTGCCTCTTCTTACTACCCCTCTATCACCACCCCCATCAAGCACCTGGCAGAACACACAGGCAGGTTGCAACAGGGGCATTTTTCTGAACCAAAATGAAAATCTTCAAAGCTCAGTTGTGTACTCTTGTATAATGTACATCTCTAAAGATCACATTTATTTGCTTTTTCCTGCTCTAAATCCTTCCTGGCAGAAGCAACAAAAAAACCTATAAAGAGGGAGCATTCGCTCTTAGTCTGTGGCTTATCTACATGTAATGTGGGCTACAGTAGGGCATGCTGTCAGCCTAACTGGAATCTAAGGGCAGCTGTGCAGTGGTGACAGAGAGGTCTCCTGGTGCAAGGTGCTGCTCTGGGATCAGTGATGTCAGCAGGTCTTGTGAGTAGTACCTTAGCTGGCCTCCACAGTCACTGAAGGCAGGCACCAGTGTGGGGCAGGAGTGCCTGCCACTGAAGCTCAGTCTGCAGAATGCAAAATTGATGGGGTTGAGTGGAGTGCATGTTGTCCCCTGTTAATCGGTCAAAGAACATTTTTTTCCAGCTCCATTTAACCGGAGAAAGGTGGCTAGGGAAGGGTGTCCAGGTGGATTCTAAGTCTAAGACAGACCATCTGGGGTGGGGGGGGGACAAGGAGCTTTCATTCTATTCCTTTATTCCGACCCCCCTGTCTGTTGTGCCTACAGTGATTTGGAAGACTGAATTTTTTCGGGGGGTTTTTTGAGACAGGGTCTCACTATGTAGTGAGACTGACCAGGAACTCACTATGTAGTTTAGGCTGGTCTCAAACTCACAGCAATCCTCCTGCCTCAGCCTCCCGAGTGCTGGGATTACAGGTGTGCACTACCACGCCCCGGCAGGAAGACTGAATTTTTTTAAAAATGCAGTTGCCCTATTCAACTTCCATATTTTGCAAAAGTAAAGGTGGTTCTGTTCTGCTCTATCCTTGTATCTGAAATAGTCAGGCCCTCACCAGCTCTTGATGGCTTCTTTTGTGAACAACTCAGGGAAAAGCCACTGGTGTAAGGCATTTGCCCTGTAGCCTGATTTTGCCCCCCAAAAATGATTCCTCTGCCCCTGCATAATAGTTTTCCCTCTTATATGTAGGATGACCATATAACCCAGCCTGCCCTCGGGACATCATTTATGGCCACTGTCGCCTGAGATTAATGTGCTTTTGTGCTCAAAAGTGTCCCATATTGGACGATATATTTTTTGCATGGTTACATTGATTACAGAGAATGAAGGGAAGGAAGTGAGTTCCTGTTGAACTGTCTAACCTCACGCTCCTTCCTTTTTGTTACCACAGCTCCATCTGGCAGCCCTGGCATCACTCAAAGGAGATATAGTGGAGCTCAATAAACGTCTGCAGCAAACAGAGCGGGAACGGGACCTTCTAGAAAAGAAATTGGCCAAGGCACAGGTAAGGAACCTGGAAAGTTTTGTTATTGTTTCAACTTTTTTTGTTGTTTAAAAAGAAAAAATACACACACATACACACACACACCACACACACACAAATTCCCACAAAATAAATTCTGAATCAACAAGCACCATGGTCTTAGTTTTGAAGGGATGCTATAACAAACACCATAAACATAGTGGCTTCAACCACAAGAAGAAGAAGAAGCAGGTATTTCCCAAAGGTCTAGAGTCAAGGTGCCTGCCAGCTCTGTCCCTAGAGAGGGCTCTGTTCTTGACTTATGACACCAACTCCCTGCTGGGTCCTCACATGGAAGTGTGAGAGCACAATCATTCTTGCCCAGTTGTTGTTGTTGTTTTTTTTTTTTTTTTAACTTTTTGTTGCATGTCTGCAGTACATAATGATTACATTCATCATGGGGAGTTGGTACATGTACATAAGCACATCTTAATTCTTTTTTCTTTCCCTTTTCCTCCCCTTTCTTTCTTTCCTCCATCTTTAGGGCCCCTTCCCATTTGCAGAAGATTTATTTCCCGATTTCCTATTGTCTGTCTTTCATTTTGCTCTTTTAAAAAGGAACTAATCCCATCCGTGAGGGCTCCACCTTCATAACCTAATTCTCTCTCAAAAGCCCCATCTCCTAGCCTTTACCATCACAGTGAGGATAAACAATATGAACTAGGGGGGAGTAAAAATATTCATGAAACACATTTGTACCCCTTAAGAAACAGGACTTGTCTCTCCTCCTAGAAGACCCTGCTGTGTCCTATCCCAGTCTCTGCACTTTCTCTCCCCAAAGGTAACCACTAGGATCTTTACAGTAATATTTCTTGCATCTTTACATTTTATCACTCAAATTTGTATCCCTGGATAGCGGCACTTAGTCTTGCTCATTTAAAAACTAGATGTTTCCTTTAGATCTTTTAACTAACAGCTTTTTTTCCCTCCACTTTTTATTAGCTTTTTAATGTATCTGTTAAACCTGGTGTTGTTCCAGTAGTTTTCCATATTCCAGATGTTGCTAATTATACACTTACAGTAGGATTCAGCCTGTTCCTGTGCATCTCCTGCAAACTGCCAGTTGAATCCTGAGGCACAGTCAGATTTTTATCTTATTCATCTTGCAAACTACAAAGAGTATTTTTTCAACAGCATGCCCATAGTACCTGGTTGTTCATCTTTCTGTGATGTTAGCAACTGTTAATGTTACCTACATCCATTACTTCATCATGACTTACATAATTACCTGTATTCTACCGTTTCTTATTGATAAGAATCCTTTTATACAGACAGTTTCTATGTTTGTTTAAAACAGTGCTATAGTTCATAGAGAAAAAAACTAGCTAGGTCCCTTGAATCTTTTCCTTTTAATTAAGCTTTTTCAAGATAATGAATTGACTCACTATGATGCTGTGAAAGTACCTACTTATTTTTTAATGTTATGAATTAATATATTTAAATATCTTTGGTTTTTAACATATTGTAATTGTTTTCCTTACAGAAGCTCCAAGTACACCATTGTTAGTGAGAGGCTCTTGAAGTTGGCTCCTGAGTCTTATGGCCTGAACTGAGTAGTTAATTCCAGGCTCCTAGCATATATTTCTTGCCCCAAACCTAATGTTAACCATTCTTCAAGTAGCCATAGTTTTCTTCAGCAGGAAAGACACTTTCAAGAGCACTGACTGGATTATTTATTTCTTCTTGGTGGTTTATTACATGTGGGTCTCTCTTGTACACAGAGCAAGGAAGTTATTTATTAACTTAAATATAATGGCATAATCAGTACTATAAAATTTAAGATGTGTATTTATAGTGCGTTAGGAATTCATGGTAATTAATACCGCTAATAAAAATTGAGACTACTGCAAATTTTTGCTCAATTTCTGTATTTTATTTTTATCTTTTTTTTCACGCTAAAAATTCTACTTACTGAGGTCACAGATAACAGTAGAATTAGAATATTCCATAAGGGTTCTTTTGTTCTATCCCATGTTATATTCAGTCTCAGAATAATGACGTTATTCCGACAATAACGCTATAACCAGTAATAACACTATAACCAACGTAGTTACTGAGAATTTAATTTTTTTATTGTCCTCATTCTCCCAAGTTTTTACAATTGAACTATATTGATCCCACCTGACCATACGACCATTGATTCTTATTTAGTGTCCTACGAGTATTGATATGTTTAATGATCACCAGCATTCTTATGTCAGTACCTATTTTAAATTCAATATGTATTTATTTTGCCTGAAGCTTATTTTCTAGATTGCTCCAAGGGCCCTTGTAGGAATAATGTCTCTAACATTCTTGCTTGTCAATGACAGTGTATCTCTCACCTTTATACTTGAGGAGAACTTTGCTGGATGTCAAGTTCTTGGTTCATATGTCCTTTCCTGGAATTTTTTGTTGTTGTCTTTTGGCATAGCGTGCTGCTGTCAAAGTCTGATGATAATCTCTCATCCTTTTGAGATCGTGATTACTCTACATGTCCAGAGGATTCTTTTCTTCCCCCTTCCTTCTTCGCTCCCAGCCTCACTTTCTCCCTGATTCCTTCTTTCCCTTTCTCTCCCTCCTCCTTTCCTTCCTTCCTCACACATCTCGGTTCCTTTTTCACTCCCTTCCTCTCCCCTTCCTCCTCTTCTCCACCTCTTTGTCTATGTCCCATTTAGAAAGGATCGGCTTCTGTTACTTGGATGTTAAATCATCTTTGTCTTTAATATGTCACTGTCTCAAATCCTTAATATTTCTTCCGTCTTAAAATTTAATGTTTTCTCTGCTCTCCATTTTGTGTTTCTCTCAAGGTTATTATATGTTGTTTTCTATTCTTCTTTTGTGCCTTCTAGTTTAATACTCGTTTCTGACATGCATTTTTTTCTTCTGTTTCTTTTCTGAGTTCTGTACCTCCCTTTTGAAATTTTCTAATTCTGAATTTTGTTCAATCATGTCTCATGTCATTTCCATAAAGTCTTTAAGATAGTAAGCTATTTTTGTATATTAATTTTTATTCTGTTTGAGGTTTTGTGGCATGCTTTCATGGTTCATAAAGGTGTTTTTCTGTTCTCTTTATTACTTTGAATGGCATTTGACTTCAGTACTTTTCTGTGTTTTACTTTTATGTGAAAAATTGAACTTTTCATTGAACTTTTTGGAAATGGAATATAAGAAGCCCCCCCGCCCCCAGTCAGAGAGCTTTCTTAGCCTTATTTTGTTTTCTTGAAGTAAAAAGTATGGCTGGCAGCCTGCTGTCAGATGCTTTCTGGCCTGTTTCTTTTGCCTATTTTCATCAGGATCTTTTCTTCTCAGTGATCTCCAGCCTGCTCAGTTTTGGTTCTGCTCCCACCAGTGCCTCCTTGTAGAAGGGAGCTCCGGGGCCATTATTGACAGCTCAGGGAACTGGACTTCAGCATTTTTCTGGAGGGCCCTTGTAAGCTCACACACAATCTTGTAAGGCATGTATCCCCCATGACCCCAGCTGCTATTCTCTGATTGGCTTCCTCACTTTTCTATGAATATCTCTTGGTTATTTTGGGACTTTCCAATTCTTGGATCCATCAACCTTGTTTCCCTCTGATCCTTCCTGTACACCTTAAGTAATGCCACACAGATGTATGGATGCTACTGGTTTATCCTTACCTGCTGGTATTTTCTTATTCAAGGGAACTCCTTCTCTCCATGCTTTTTTTTTTTTTCTGTGTAGATGGTATAGGATAACTCAGAGAATGTTTTTCAAAGGATTGCTACAGGAGCCTGGGATGTATGTAGTTCAGTGGTGCCACGCCTGCCTCTCAATTGCAAGGTCTTGAATTTGATCTCTGGTACCAAAAAAAAAAAAAAAAAAAAAAAAAAAAAAAAAACTG